TGCGACAGGATAGCGACGCAGGGGTCTAGAGCCTGTGGGGACGATTTACATACTGAACTAAAGCCCAGGTCGTACTTGAACTGGTACAAGCGATCCCAAAATCAGTGATCGAATTCAGCCGCGGCGGACAGCGTGTGGCTTCTCGTATGTTGAACTAAACGGTCGTCATGCGAAGATGCTGTGGATTCGTAACGCATGGCACTCCCTCGGCCCTCTCTCTATATCACGGGAGGAGGAGAGGTTTTTTTTCCCTCCTTGACACACGGAGTTCCCGGTTGCGCCGTTAACAAACCGATATGCGGCACGCTTTAACCACCCGGGCACGCAGCACAGCACACTCTCGCACCACTCCAATCTGTATTACTTAAGAAATAATTGCGTATTTACCTGAAATGTTAAGCGACAGAAAGTCAAGAAGATGGCTGCCCTCGATGGCCACACCTCAATCTGTTGAGTGTGCGGCAATCGAGTAGTGAGGGGGGGCATTATACTCAGGGACGTGTCGACCATTCAGAGGCCCCTATGCTTATTTTACAAACATGGAACGCCCTCAAATTTTCAACACTCTTCTCACGTATTTTACAGCTTTATATCGGCATTCGTCAAACAATACGTATTATTTCCAATTCGTTTTTAGATTAGAAAAATTATAAAGAGCTTAAGGTACGTACTAATAGAACGATATGACTCTAACTATTGACAATAAATGTCTCTTTTTAATTGAAAAGATATTACTATTTGTTAATTTTGTATTAAATGACGCATGAAGTTTTTGAACGTACGCGGTACTGTAGTAGTTCTTTTACTGCGCTGTTATCTGCAACGCCAATATTATAGTATTACAAGCATATTAATAACGTAGACAGTATGCTTCAGAAAATTAACTGTCATTGCTAAGGATTTAAATGAAAGCGGGTTTAATTGTAATAATCTTTTTTAAAAAAGAAAATAATAAATAGCTTTTGTGTCACCGAGTGACACGTTCCTGAGCGGTACTCCGAAACCGGCGAATCATGCGCCACCGCGCACGTCACGAACCTGTGGAGGGACTTTGCGCACGCATCATGTTTCTCAGATGTATTTGTGGGTGAATGACGGAAAGGGTTGGAAAATATGTAAATAATGCTGCATCGCAACTCGTCACCCAGCGCCCCTGGTATGTAACACGTGAAAATTTATAACCATGAACGAAACTGATAACTAGCATAAAATATCTGCGTTTACGGTCGAGTGTGTTCAAAAATTTGTTTAACTTTTACTATAATCATTGTATTTTTCATAATATAAACATTATCTTCCATTTTGAAAAACATAAACACAACAGATTGTATGTGTAGTTCGTGTAATAGATATAATACTATATGTACTCGCGTGTTCTTGCAGATGGTGTAACATACGATATAGATGATTCTCGCGACAATGCAAACGCGCCTGAAAAATTAAATTTAGCCAGTAGCAAAAAAAAAGAACAAAACACTTTCGTAAGGAATTTAATAACACTATTTCGTTGTGAGTGGTATTTTTTGCTGAATATATCGATTTGATGGAAATTCGAATGTCGTGCGTCTATCTTATAATGGGATAAAAAAACTCACCAGTTGAAATGGACTTACCAATGGTGATACTCATCTGCAGAAGCAAATGGCATACGACTAAATATGAATTTACAAACACACACGGAAAATAAATTAGAGCACGAAATATAAAAATGTGTGTGTTTATACGCGCGCTTCATACGTGCCAAATAAGAATGATGTCACTGTGTAATTTACGCAGAATTGACGTATGCATACTATCAATTTAGAAGAACATATCGAACGTCAAGATAAAGCTTTCAGGTTTATCCTATTTTTAAAAAATATAATATACACTTGTTGGATTAAGAATGTATTTTTTATTTTATAGTAATTATTCTTTTGTTGAAGTTTATATGTGATATAAGACATTTACCAAATGATTAAATAAACAATACAAATAAAAAATGTAAACATTTGAAAAATGTTTAATTATTCAATTTGTTGTATATTTAGAATGCTTTTTTCTAATTATATACATGCTTGTTTTAAATATTTCCAGTTTTTTGTATTTTCATATTCCATAAAAAAATATATATATAGATGTATATATATTTATATGTGTATATATATACACACATACATATATACATATACATTTATATATTCATACATATATATATATGAATATGATTTTAAGGCAGTTGTAATGTAAGTTAGAGTTATAATTTTTTGTTTGTCTGCATATGAAAAAGGGATAGGCACTGGCTAATAGCTATTATATGTTTCAATTAAATTTAGTTACTTCCATTTTGTGTAGAATCTTTATAATATGTCACAATCACAGTTCTTTTAATTTTCTTGTGGTGGATCAGGATCATTTGAATTTCCTCCCATTTGCCGTCTCAAAGATTCAATCAATTCGGGATTAGCGTTATGTAATTGTCGCGCAAACTGTTGACTACTATAAAATATTGAAATGCAATATACTTGCACAAGATATTGTATAATAAAAAGTTGGTAAATGTCAACAACACTTACGCTTCTATAAGGGCGTCCATGGGCCCTCCTTGTTCTACCTGTCCAACCATAAAATTGCTCACCATATTCTGAAGTGCTGGGTTAGTTAACATGTGACGTGCCATGTTCATAAGAGCAGGATTACTCAAAAGTGAACTAAGATCATTGCCTGGAAATGCACCCCCACCTAATCCTGTGTTGCTAGTGCCTTGTTGAGCTAACTTCTCTTCTGCTACTTTTAAATTGTTTTTATAACTTTCATTGTCAGGCTCCATTTCTAAAGCTTTCTGATAGCTTTCTTTAGCTTCTTTATGTTTTTCCATACTGGAATATGCTAAACCTAAACGACCATATGCTTTGCTATAGGAAGGATCAATAGACAATGCAGTAAGACAATTTTTAATTGCTTGTTGATGGTTGCCGATTTTACTATATGCTGCAGCACGGTTGCAATAATACACTGCATTGTGGCCATCTAATTCAATTGCTCTAAAAGAAAAACATTATATAGATATACATAATGTTGCTTATCTTATTCTCAAATAAAAAGTATATACTTTGTGTAATTCAGAAGAGCTTCTATATGTTTATCAGCTTTCATGAAATTATTTCCTTCATTCTTCAATCTTTCAGCTTCAGCTTTTGCTTGTGGAGTAACTTTTGCTTGTGCGGTAGATTCTGCAGCCACTGGAGGTTTATCCTTTTCTGCAGTAGACTTATATATTTCATATAAGTTAAAATTTGCAGGAGTATCAGATGCTTGTACATTGTAAGCACTTTCTAAACATTGTATCGCCACTTCGAGACTCTCCCGAGACTCTTCGGTAATATCACCTTCCTGTAATTGTTGGGTTAAAAATTGAACAATTGCTGCTACCAGCCCCTTGACAGCCATCACTGCCTCGAAGGAACCGTTATGTCTGAAACAATAAAATTAATTATAACACAATATGCGTTACATTATAATAATGACGAAAACATAGATTTTTTTTTACTATCACTCGCTAACGGAAAAGTTTCGATACGTGTCATAACCTCAAAATAATTATCCGATTACTCATAATTTCTCATAAAAAACAATAGGCTTTGAACAAAGCAGAAACGTAATCATTATTTTAACACATTCAATTGCGATAACATTGCAAGTATTGTGTTAGTAAATTATGAAATATTATTTCGCCAATTCATCCTGGATTGACATAACCAACGAAACGTGCCGGATAAAAAAAAGCGGAATTAAATTTCATCGATCATATTTACGATCGTTTCAAGTTGATTACAATGCTTCGTTTATCATAATTATATTAAACGAGTTAAATTACATACGATTATAAATCAACTATGAATCCCCTGGGGTTAACTCAAGACGAACAAAAGTTGTCGAACTACGACGAAACGATACACTGACAGTTTCGTTACAAGTTTTCAGCTATACGATATTTTGGATCGATTCAGGTGTAAAAAAGGGACTCTTTGCGATTGAATATACCTTGAAACGTTAAATGTAGTGTTCACTCAGCAACAACGAAGAAACTTCAATGTATTTCAATGGCTTCCACTTCGTGAAATAGCGGAACCTTAACGTTTTGTTTGTCCGTCGGATACAGAAACTTGTACAATACTATTATGTCCGTTCCGGGAAACTGTTTGCTATTACGATATATAACTGCTTATATGTACGTGAGATAATTTTATTCCATCTGGTTGTCCCTTGAATCTTTTTTTGCGGAAACGAACGAATTGAATTTCAGTCCTTCCGTCGGAATTGCGCTGGCGCAATTCGGTTAATATTAAATCTGCTTCTAGATAGTATCGTCTAAATTGTTAAACCGAGATGTTTCATTCACAGTAACGGGACGTCACTGTGCATATATTACTAAGTACTACAAATGTATTAACTATTCCCCACCCGTGTACAGTTTTATATTATAAATATACATAAATATGTTTCGATATACTTTACATTACATCGTATATAATGTATATAGTATGTATATACCGGTTTACAGATAAACGTAGTACATTAACAGTGGTAGATAAATTCGCGTATTAAGACCATTGTAAAATTTTTTAACGTGGCCCCTGTTTTACGACTCGCAGTATCGTGCTGTTCATGCTTGTGCCCGTAAAGACATAGTGATTCTCTAAATAATAGAACGGTACCATCGTTTGTAAATTATCCATTCGATGATGTAACTTCAGTTGGAATTTCTAAAAAATGATCATTTTATGAAACTGACCCTACTAGTCATATTGCTTCAACAAATAAGGTAAATATAGACTTACTTCGGCGTACATGTATTCGTAAATGTAAAACTGATCGTTCTCTGTCGTGACGATGATAAAAGAATCGCTCAGACCAAACTCTAAAATGTCAAATGAAAATGTCATTAAAAATAATTAAAAAAGAAATATATATATATGTTCTTACCATCAGAGTAGAAGCATTCTACACTATCGATCCGCGAATCATGAAAGAGACTTTGATAATTATTAAAATTATCGAATTCCAAATCGTACTGAAATATGTTTATCGCGTTCGTATCGAAATCGTCCAACAAAACGAAACGGTCCTGTTCTTGGAACAGGGTTTTCACATTACGCGTTTTGCCTCCAAAAGTTCTCAATGTTTCAAACTAAAAAAAGGAAACATTTTAGTACCGTTAACCGAAATATTTCTTCGAAATAATTAATAAAAAAAAAAAGTATACTTGAGAAGTGTTCCCGTCTAATTTATACAGAAAAGACTTTTCAGAGTCGCCAAAACAGCCTAGGAGAAGGTATAAATCACGATGATTCGTCTTAAAAACTTCAACAGCCCAAGCACCATCTGTGGGAAGTTTTTGATGTAACGATAGAACATTCTTCTCGAAGTCGATCTTATAGATCACAGAATCCGTACGGTGTGTTGCCAAGAATGTGTCATAGTAAACTGCTAGTACCACGAATGCTGCATCTAATATGTATATACATATAAACGTATCGTATCATTTTAAAATATATTACACAAAGAGAGTTAATCGATTCGATAAAATTTCAATCACATACTTTCATGCGACATGAAAACTTTTGCATCTTTTACAAATCCTCGAAAATCCGGAGACGTTTTCTTTACATTAGCTAACACGTCTCCTGTATCGATTAGATCCGACTTCATCCACGAAATCGTGATCAACTCGTTCTCGATATTTTTCGAAGTACATTCGGGACTGTAGGAAACCGTGTTCGTTATCACGTTTACACCGAACGTACTATGCAACTCGTGATAATTTCGTACTATTTTACTATTGTTCGTTCGTCGAACGTGACAACCGTCTTTCGTGAATTCAGCTACGTATTCAGTCGGGCAGGAACAAGTGTCGGGAAGTCCGCAAAATGATCCGGGTTCTTCCCCGAACATGTTCAATTTCGTGATTTGCTCGTAATAAACAACGTCGACTTTTTTAACGTTAGGAACTTGTATCTTTAAATTTTCCTCGGTTTCCAAGTACGCGAAAATATTTCTCATACTCCGTGAAATTAAGGAAGATTGCGAAATGCTCTCCTCCATTTTGGTCTCGTTCCGCGTGAACATTTGGAGAGTTCGATGCGTTTCATTTTGTAAATCATCGAGAACAGCGGGCAAACGTACACCGTTCACTGAATTCGAAACGGATACGTTTTCTGGAACCTTCACTTTCGACTCGAAAATCTGTAAATAGGAAATTTCACATTTTTAAAACTGCTGTGTGGACGTCACACTAATAGAAAATAAAAAAAGGCTTCGGTATTTTGAGGAATTTTTTTCTCAAGTAACTACGAAACGAAAAGTTTCAATTTTTTCAGAGGATATACATAAACGTATCTTTCAGCTTTTTCCTCCGATTTTGAAAAAGTAAAAATGTTCAATAATTGTGGATACTCGAAAGGAGTGATCGTACCAAGTCTCCAATTATTTCTACGTCTTCGTCGTTTTGTATGCCATCAGAGTATTCCGAGGAAAGATTCACGCCATTGACAAACGGTGCATAAATGTTGCCGTTCACTATCACATCTTCCTCGAAGATCTTCGAACCCGATATCACTTGCGTTTCCGTTGTACCATTTAGCACCAAATCGAAGGGATCGATGTCGTTGATTCTCGATACATTCGCGTTTCCTAAGAACAATATGATCCTATAGATCGTGAATAATACTTCAGCTTAAATTTCAGCTTCCATTAATCTAAATAAAATTGTATACCTATTACTTCGATAACACCATTGAATTGTACATCGCCAAGTATCTCGTGATCTCCATCAATGGTGACACGATTTCTCAAAAATTCGTTAAAATCTATCCCATCGAAATTTTTCAAAAACACATTATTTACAACGAGATTGTTGAAAAACACGTTAGGGGGTAGGATGTCTGTCATCAGAACAAACTGTTTCAAAGGAACATTATGATTGCTATCGTTAACGAGAATTTTGTTAACAGCGACATCGTCGAGGAAAGTGATCGATCCGGTAATCGTCTCGTTTCGATCTTTTCTCACTGCAGAATCGTTCAATTCCAGAATATTCACATTGTTAATTACAGGAATATCAATGTTCCCTGTTACCAATAAATTATCAACATTGAGGTTCTCTTTGAAAATCTTCCGACCGCTTATTTCAACGATATTTCCATCATCGAGCACGGTGTCCTCAACGATACCACGTATATCATCGATCTCTTTCCATTCTCCTCTTATCGTTGACGCTGAAACATCCTTCTCGAAGATCACATCGCCTCGAATAGTCTGATTCGTATCTTTGGTCACAGCATTTTCGAAAAGGTACGACAACGAAGCAGAATTGGTAGAAGGAACGTCCCAATAGATATTTCCATCCACTCTTAAATCAGCAATTCTCGTTACTGACACGTTTTTACTGCAATAAATTGATGGAATAATTGAACACTGTTGTACGGTGCACGGAACTCGCGACACGATTTTATGATGAATCGCGGCCGCGAAAAGTACCGTTGCCTCGCGACAAATTAAGTAGCGGGTATTCCCATTTGGATGGGTGAAAAAATATCGATTACTTTTTACTCAGGAGAGGAATTTATTTCGGTGTTGGAATTGTATTTCTAACAAAATTTTACCTCATTCACGTCACGTCCGTTTAGAGTTTCTGTCACGACATCCCCTTCTACAAATAAATCCTCGAACGTAACGTCTCCTGTTAGAAACAGAGGCTCGTCGATCCAGATCAATTTCGAGGTGTTTCGATCGTTGATGAAATTAGTCTGGACGTTATCAGCGGTAATTTTGTGGAAAGAGAAATTTCCAGGAACAACTTGTTCCTTAGATTTCGACAGGAAATGTTCGAAAAGATCGTTCACATCGTGGCCATTCAGAGATTTCAACGTAACATTTTCCACGATCAATTCGTCCATTGTTATATTTTTATCAAACACGATATATTCTTCAGGCATGTTCTGTAGATAAATCATCGCTGGTTGATTGTCAATTTGATCGACCTGTAAATTACCATTCACCGTCAAACTACCATTTATCACCAAATTCTTCAAATCGGACATCTTTCTATTTTTCAACCATGCAAGCTTCCCTATTTCGATATCGTTGATTCTCTCAACGGTAAGATTCCCTCCGTGAAATTCTCCAGTCTTCGTGAACTTCCTTTTCAGTACTTTGCCAACGTTCCTCGCGTTCTTCAGCAAATTAGCCTCATCCTCGTCGTTGAAGAAGAGAAAATTCAACTTATCGACGTTCACATGCTTAGCTTCGATCCTTGGGAAACTCGTGTTCTCTGGAAAACTGTGCGACTGTTTTCCATTTGAAATATCGTCCGTAGAGAGGCCGTTGAATAAATTAGCGAACAATTGGTTCGCGTGAAGATTTTTCACGTGCAATTTTTCACGGATCGTTACAGATTCGGGGGCGATGTCGAACAAACTATCGTTCTCTCCTGCCACGAACAACATATCGTCCACGTGGACATTTTCAAAGTGTAAGTTTCGGAAATTCTCCGGTATATTTGTCACGGTAGTGTACAAAAATTCTTCCTCGGTGAATCCGTTTAAGTACTTGCTATTTAGACGATCTACGATTAAATTCTTCTCGAATACGATATCGTCTTTGATCACTTGATCGGTCGATTTCGTCCAATAGTTGTCGAGGATATTTTTCAAATGGATCTCTTCGTTGTTCAAAAAGATCCTCGTGTATTTGTCCAGATCGAGAGTGCCTATTCTCAAGTTACCACGAATCGTCACGTTAGAGTAGATTTGAGACTGTCTTTCCGGTACTTTGAAACGCGAATCTACCGTCAGCTTGTCCGTCACTTTCACATTCGCAATTTTTACCTCCCCTGTGAAATAGAATATTTTTATGAATCGTTACAAAAATTCGCTCGATTTAATGCACCACCTTTGATCACGTTCTCGGTCGATACTCGTGCTGCTTGGGAAACGGGAACTCCGTTTATGAAATCTGCGTGCAAATTTTCCACCTGAAGCGGTTTCATGATAAAATAGTCGAAACTTTGATCGGTTCTAGCATTCATGTAATCCTTCCACGGTTTTCCGTTCAACGTTTGTACCGTCAGATTGTGTATTTCTATCGTATTGCTATACGTGATGTTCCCTAAAAAAAATTTGTCAAATTATCAACCCTCCGTTTCAAATAGTTTCGTAAAATCTACCTTTGATTTTTTGATTGTGATTGATAATGAATAATTCGTTGAACAATCCATCGATATCCGTGCCGTTTAATCTAGTCACGTTTAAATTTGACACAGATATGTCTGAATTTAAGTATACAGTGTCGTTTGAAAATTTCATTTTATCTGGTTCCACGTCTATCTGCATTTTCGATGTATCATCGTTCAGAGACCAATCTAAAAGAACATTGCATTAGGTAGGCAATATTTTCGATCCATTGAGAATTTAGATATATTTCAGCTTACATCGGAATGGAATTCCGCAAATAGAATCTACTTGAACGTTCTCTACAGTGATATTTCCACTCTTCAACGAAATCGAAGATTCTTCTGTGTCGTTCGAGTTAACATCGTTCGAATGCGTATCAACATCGTTCGAGTGCGTATCAACGTCGTTTAAAAAATCCACGTGCATACTATCGATCTCCAGCTGATCGATAAACGCATCACCATCGACGACGATGTCTCCATTCAGAGAATTCATGTTACCGGAAGTTAAAAGTTTTTTAGACATCGTTAAAACATCGTCAATTTCGCTGTTCAACTTCTCAAATTTGTTCTCGAGCTCTCGAGGCGTAAGGATGTCTTCATCAACGAAGATGTCGATATTTTTCACGGTTCCTGAATCCAGTTCCAAACTTGGCAAGACTAGAGACTCCGATATCGTTAAATCTTCATCAACTGGGAAAAGATACGGCCAAGAAGCTTCAGCTTTTTCCACGAGTGGCTTTCTTCGTTTTAACATCTCAACCAGCTCTGCCAGATGTTTCGATAAAATATCACTTTCCTTGATCGAACGATCTGAAAGTATATTATACACTCGTTGAAGTGAAGAATCGTTTTGCACCCTTTCGTGATTGAATTATTTTCTTTTTTCAATTTCTTACTTATTCACCTAAATTCGGATCAATTTTTATTCGAATTATGTAAATTAATAAAAATTTTTAATTATACGTTTCATCGATCACGAAAGGGTTGGAAAAGTATGCGTTACTTTACGTAGAATATTTAACCAGAAGGAATTTCTTTGATGTGTAAGTTCCATGATTCTACGCCATAAACTTGGTCGCCGTTCATAGTGACCAGCATCATGATTAACGTGGATTTTTCGACTCGAGTTTGTATGTCGATCAGAAACATTCCAGTGGGCAATTTTACGGAATGTATGAAATTGCAATTCGATGCGTTTTCAAACTTGTACAATTGCAAGGTATTCTGTGATCAATTACAATTGAAAATTAGTAAAAAAAATTTGCAAAAACGATTTCAATCATCGATCGCTAATGTAAGCTTACTCCCTGGCCAACAAAGAAGAAAGTGTCCTCGTTGATGCTCACGACGTGAACCAAACTTGGCGCTGTGATTTTCGAAACATCTTGCCAATGTAATAATTCGTGTCCTAGAAGAACTATCTTTAGAATATTCTTCACAGATCAATAGTTAGAAAGAGATAGAGAAATAATACGAAAGAAGACCAACCATCCCACCAAAATAAACTACTTGGTCCATGTTGATTGATCATCAAAACGAAATTAAATCTCCCGTGATTGTAATGATGAATAGAGGTAGGATTGGTAGTTGGTAAAAATTGTATTCTATCCAGACTGGTCTCTTTAAATTCGTACACCATGGAACCGATTCCAGGTATATTTCCATCATTTTGGGCGAACACTATGATCGTCGATTGTTTGTGTTTAAATGTGGTGACTGATACGGCTGCGGTAGTCATCACTTCCGTCATTACATCCATGTACGTTCCTCTCCAATGATATATTCTACGTTTCGTACAAAAAAATTTATTACTTATCAAGTTTCGGATTGCTTGAAATATTACCCTATGTTTCCAATGGTAAATAAAATTCCGACGTTTCGTCAATTAGACACGGTTCGTAATATTTCAAAAACTTGTTTTTTTTAAATTACGTATCGATCGATAAAAACGACGAATTTTTTGTACAAAGAAGGTACGAAAAAGTAAAAAAATTTATTACTTTTCAACTTTTTACCGACTGGATTGCTTGAAATATTACCCTATGTTTCCAATGGTAAATAAAATTCCGACGTTTCGTCAATCACCGTTGTTCGTAATACTTCAAAAATTTGTTATTTTAATATTACTTATCGATCAATGACAAGGACGAAATTTTCTTACAAAGAAGGTACGAAAAAGGAGCCAGAATTATCAACCACCACCAGGAAAAGTCGATTGGCACGGACGAAGAAAGTTGCGTCCATAGGATATCCCTTATGTTGAATTCGTTGTCGATGTTTCAACTGAAAATTTTCTGTTCCCGTGTACACGCTGCACTCGCCAGTTCCGTAACAAACTAGCAGATAAAGCACACCTTTCCAGACGATACTCTACGACGATAATTCATTTAGATAATTTCACACGTTGAATTTGAGTAACTGTGAATATAATTATTCATTTTGCATACCCTGACGAATTTAATAGGATCGCTGTTGTTCGATGGTGAGATTATCTGTTGCGACGTGGTTCGATTCGAATCGTCGTAGGAAATGGTTAGAAAACGATTTCTTTGAATTACAAGAATCTTGCCAAAAGTAGTCGCTACGAAAGGTTGCTCCTTGTCGAGATCCTCTCGCCATAATTGATTCCATTTCACGTTGTAGACTTTTCGTTCAACTATAATATGTGATATTCGAACGTTACTTGAGAAACATTTTTAACGTGAACATTTTCTGTGTATGTATGTACCTGGTGGTTCTTCTTGTAAGTGAAGCTTGGCTATTTCGATTTTCGTCTGCCTCAATTTCTCGTCCAAATGATCGTTAAGAGAAATTTGCGCGAGGATGAAACTGACGAGACCGAATAAAAGCTGAGGTAACAGAAGTTCGAATTAAAAAAACAAGGTGAAATTAGAATTTGGAAAAATTGAAAATCGAAATATTTAAATTTTTCGTCCGATTCTTACACAATAGACTTACTAGAATTTTCAAGTATCTCATGATTATGGTACGATCCACGCGAGATTATCGATCTAATTGATCAGGTCGTCGATTAGATGTACGAACGAATGTGGTTGTATCGAACGTAAACAAGCAACCACTGCTGTTAGATTTGAATCGATCGAGACCGGAAGTCGATCGATTTATTTATTTGTTAGATGAAACAAGGCTGAATAGCGTATTGGAAATGATTTATTAAGAGATATTTAACATTTATGTATGAAGAAGAATAAAATAACGATGAAATCAGTAAATAAATTGGATTCTTTTTTATTTAACTAAGGTTAAACAGGTCCTAAAGTGTACACCTTCTTGTACGTCCCTTTATTCGTGAAAGAATAGAAATTAAGCGTTATACAGGTTTGGTAGGTTTTGCTTTTAGGACTTGTTTTTGCACCCTAACCAACCCACCTCCTCCTCTTCTTTCTCTTCCCTTTCCTTGTTTCAACTCTTTCTAGGTCATTTTACTTGAAAAACTCGAAGGGAAAAGCGGTCGATTAATCGAGATGAGTCGGTTCGTTGATCATCCTGTTAAAGTAATTTCAGGGGTGCGCGACAACTTCAAGAGGGTTCCCACAAATTCGAAAATTATGGAGTCCGGTGAAACGTTGCAACGATTACGATTAGCCGTCCGTTATTAATGGAATTTATAAATAGACCTACCCAATGGACGTGGCAATTGGATGAAATTAGATCAGGGTCCGGGTGCAACAATTTAACGCACTGTCATTTCATTCGTGTTTATCATTTGCAACATATATTCAAACGCATTACTACGTTCTCTTACTTGTCGAAATATATTATCGAGTCCTGTATCTTTTGTTTCGCGTATTTCATCGAGGTAAAAGGAATCTTTAATCACGAATACGATGTAGGTTATTTTTATATACGCTAAGTACGTGTTAAGCATAAATACAACGATCTTTCACATTTTATCTATATAGTAATGATACGAACGATTCTAACGTATGATGTAATACGTTAGATAATGATATCATATCAAAGTAAATATTTATGAAAGTAAGCTGTGTTTTTTAATCTTTTTCAATCAACGAATACACAAGTAAACTAAGTATATCCCTGTAGCTACACGCAAATCCATATATCCCTCCGGGGCCCGCGGGCCCAAATATTCCATGTTACAGTCATCGAACTAAAATAAGTTACAAGATGATCCTCCCGTTCCCCTCTCGATCTTCGATTCCACGTTTCATACATTAGATGGCGCCTGAAATTCGAACGAGTGCACTCTCGTAGCGTTTTCATTGGTCACGAAGGACCGGGAACTTCGCATGGATTGGACGTTGATCGTGATCGAGAGATCTCCACGAATCCTGGCCGTATCCTGCACACTAAGGAGTATCGCATACAATCCGTACGTGAAGCGATCGTGCCGGTATCTCAGGGCTCGTCAAGTTTTGGTCCATTGTCATCGTTTTTGACGGCAAGCCAGCGAGCGATCCGCGAAAATAGATCGCGCGTGTGCACGTATCGAATGTTAATACGTACATCGACAGAGGAACGTGGAGCAAGTGCGTGCGAGTGTGTGTCTGTTAGTGCGTGTATGCGAGCAGAACCGCGTGCGGGCGGTTCCCACACGTCCGTGCAACAAGTGTCATACACGGCGCGGCGGCGAATAACCGACTGTTACGAGGAGGATCCGATAGAGACGCCGTGCATGGTGCTCGTCCTTTCTCCAGTAGATAGAGAGGACCATCGGTGAGGATGGGCTGCGCGGTGAGCACCACCGGCGAGAAAGAAGCCGCGGAAAGGTCGAAGAAGATCGACAAGGATCTGAGAGCCGATGGCGAGCGGGCCGCCAGTGAGGTCAAGCTCCTCCTGCTTGGTAATTTCTTCTCGTTTTCTTTTCGTTTACGTACTTTCTCCCCGGGGAGAATCGTCTCATTGTTATTCCATCGTTTTCCTTTGTTCGTGATTCTGTCTATAGGATATTCGTCTCTCCAACGTTTCGATGGTTCCTTCGTAAAAGTAGATCTGGGTGCACTGGGCGGGCTCTCGAGATCCGGGGAAACGTTCCTTTTTTTTCTATTTGCTTTTTCGTCGATGATTATGCTTTAAAGATCGAGCATTCTGATCGTACGGTTTTTTATTTTAAACTGTTCTCCCACAACAGCAGTGTTACCTGATTAATTATCAGATTTGCGCAATCGCGGAAGTGTAGCGCGGGCAAGTTTCCGAAAACTTGAATCATCGTCACGCGTGAATCATTAGATAACGCATATTGGATATCCGCTCAGTCACCTGCAACTGGAGTCAGTTATGATGTTCATTCATGAATATTGATGGTTTTGACTGGTGGAAAAAAAAAATGAAAATCAAACAAGTCGATATATAGGAGGATAAAGTTTTATTAAACATGTGAATGTTTACATTTTAAGGGGCTGGAGAATCTGGAAAGTCTACTATAGTGAAACAAATGAAAATTATCCATGAAACTGGCTATAGTAAAGAAGAATGTGAACAATATAAACCTGTAGTGTGTAGTAACACTGTTCAAAGCCTTATGACAATAATTAGAGCCATGGGACAGCTTAGAATTGACTTTGCAGACCCTAATAAAGCGGTAAATATATTACATTCAAGATAAATATGTTCTATATTTAGTTGCACCATACCATGTTTTATCAGTACTAGTGAGATCTAATTGTGTTGTAGGATATAGCACGCCAATTCTTTACCCTAGCTTCTGCAGCAGAGGAGGGTGAGTTAACTGGGGAACTGGCACTATTAATGAAACGATTATGGCAGGACGCTGGAGTACAGCTCTGTTTCACACGTAGTAGGGAATACCAGCTTAATGACTCGGCAGCATATTACCTTAATGCTTTAGACCGCATAGCACAACCTAATTATATTCCTACACAGCAAGATGTCCTTAGAACACGTGTAAAAACAACAGGAATTGTAGAAACAAACTTTTCTTTTAAGGGCTTACATTTTAAGTAAGTTATTCTTCAAATGATTCTATTAATTTTATACTATACAGCATTGCTAAAATTTATTTTTCCGTTTTATCAGAATGTTTGATGTTGGTGGTCAAAGATCAGAAAGAAAAAAATGGATACACTGTTTTGAAGGGGTTACTGCTATTATTTTTTGTGTTGCATTAAGTGGCTATGACTTGGTTCTTGCTGAGGATGAAGAAATGAATAGAATGATAGAGTCAATGAAGTTATTTGATTCTATCTGCAATAGTAAATGGTTTGTTGAAACATCAATCATTTTATTCTTAAACAAGAAGGATCTTTTTGAAGAAAAGATTACCAGGAGCCCACTGACCATTTGTTTCCCAGAGTATAAGGGTGCCAACACTTATGAAGAATGTGCTTCTTATATTCAAATGAAATTTGAGAATTTGAATAAAAGGAAAGATCAAAAACAAATTTATACACATTTTACATGTGCCACTGACACATCTAATATACAATTTGTATTTGATGCTGTAACTGATGTCATAATCAAAAACAATTTGAGTAATTGTGGTTTACTAAGTTAAACATTCCAATACTCTATGAATTCAGAAAGGGTAGATTGACATCTGAGGTTCATAAACCTATGTGAATGCACAGAGGATACACGTGAGACTGAAAAACGAATTGTTAGAAACAGAAATGTTTCAGGTATACCAACATGTATACCAATTATGCAATGTTTTCTTTTTGGCATTCCAGTAATCTTTAGAATATTTTGATGTAACATTTGTGGAGTAATTTAAATCATGTGTTTTTTACCTGTACTTTTTTCACGCAAAAATTCCTAACACTTTATTACAATACATAGGCCAATTTTTAAGTTATTGTCCTATTTTATGTAGTAAATTAAATTGAAATATTTGATAAATTTTTGATCAAAGCAGATGCTGTTTGCAAACGAACAAATATTTGGTCTCTGCTAACTGTATTTAGTATATTAACCAGAAACTAGTTAGCTATTAATTTAGTGATATCTTTTTGTATATAATTTATTCATTAAAAGAAATATGTTTATACTAAATGGAAATATATTTCCATAATAGTGCTCGAAGCCATTCATTCCTCTCATAATAAATTGTTCATATTTCAATGACAGACACAGCTCTCTGTGTTTACAGTATATATATTTATACAAATGAAATTTGATAAACATTTTTGTAAAACTTTTTGATACTTATTTAGATAATGTTTAAAGAGCTGTCGTTATTATTGCTCTATCTGCCAAACAAATGACAATGCTAGAATTAATTACAGATTTAAAAAACAATCTCATTATACTGCTGAAATAAATAAAAAAGGGTTCTTTAAAAAGTGATATTTTTTTAAACTCCCGTGCTTCGTGTTGTTGTGAAATATAGAGTAAAGTTAGTAAATTAGTAAATTTTAAAAAGCAGTAAATAACAGAATATATTTGGTGTACTTGGAAAACGTGCATCAATTATAAAACACTTTTTTACTAAAGCCATCTCTATTTACATTCTTTTTCAAATACATGATTCAATTACAAAAATTTTTGAGTTCATGTATTTTCGTTACTTTTATATCATTGAAACTCTTGTATTTTGTAATTTAATTTTCTCACAAAATTTCACGTTTGGAAGAGGAACATTCTAGAAATAATAACACTCGCACATCAAGTACTTATTATTCCGAATTTCGTAAAATAATTAAGAATGTCTTTTTCGTTGTGTAAACATAGAATCTCATTTATTTGTATCTTGCATCGATTTTTATATATATGTATATGTACAATAATACAATACATGAAGCTACAAAATAAATATTGTAATATTTTGTCCTTTCTGACAGTGTTTGGAATTGGAAGTTTACTGATTCATACTTTTACACTATTACAACAATGATTTATATCTTCTATCATTTATCATATACCATTAACTTAAAAGAACATTGATTGGTCAATGACTGTATATATTTTATACATACAATATATACTTATATGTCGAGTATTTTATAAGAATACTGTTACTCGATTCTGTTACTTTCCTTACTGTTATAACCAGCAGTAAACTTAAATCATGATTTTTTTTTTCAACTCTTAAAAATCATGTTAATTATCTATTCTTTTTTTTTCTTTTTTTTTTTAGAAAAATATAGGAAGGTGTAACAACAGGAGATAGACATAGTCAATAATCACTTTAACGTCAATTGTAAATAAATTAATCTATCACGAAAATATAACTTTTGTGGCTCATTTGTTCGAAATATAGGAGATAACAATAATAATAATAATTTTCTTTTCAATATTTAGCCACGATAAATTTTTCAGAAAGTTATATTCATACGACATCTTCTACAGCATAGATTTCATTAATCTCAACGATTATTAAGAAGCCTTTCAACGACATATTCTTGTAAACTCTGCATTATGTTCTATGACATTTCTATAATGAATTCTTTGAGGTATTTAACAAACTTATGTGGGATGACAACGGTCGACAGTCGATTTGGCCGATTCTTTCGTTATAGACATGGGCGACAACCGTGGTTGTTGATCCATTAGCTGAGATAGTCTTTGCTTATGTACTTGGCCATTGACCTGGAGACCTGTCATCAAGCGTGCATGCATGTGCGCATGTGTATGTGTGGACAAACGAATGGATTAGATCTGACGAACGAATCACCGGGGAAACCGTGAAGTGTTGGTCACCAAACGGGCAAAGTGATTCAAAACGTTAAAGGATGTGAATGAAAGTAAAATTGCGTGTGAAAGAGCGAATAAAGAAAAGCGTATTATGAACATGTTCCGATTTTCCATAAACCCCAAATCCTACATTTGTATACATGTAAAGTATTGTAGGAAGGTGCATGATAGGAAGCATAAATTCTTACTGTGCCCGAATATCTGCGTCTGACTAATCACAGAATAGACTTGAGGTTTCAGGTAAGCTACACAGTTGTACAACATTGCGCGGAAGCAATCTATACTGTTTCCAATTTCTATCGGTATTTATAAATAATTTGCTACACAATGACATTTAACGATTCAACTTGCATCGGTATGACCATATGAACCACCATTTAATGTAGATTTCTAGCTGGAATAGGTGGTCCACCTGATGTTCTTGCTGGAATTGGTGGTGGAGCATTCAATGTTGGTAAACTAGGTGGTGGATGTTGAGGAGGAGGTGGAGCTTGTCTTTGTGGTAGTGGAGGAGGTTTAGAATTGGGTGGTCTGCTAGATGCCTCTAGCGAGGGATCTGTGCGAGGTAACGGTGGTGGTGGACGGTTTGGTATCGGGTAACTGGGTGATCCATCCAATATCTCTTCATAAATCGCAGATTCTGGAGATAACCTTTCACTCTGCTCGGCTTCCACTCTTCCTCTGGCGGAGAATTGATTGGGTAACACGCTGAATACACCAGCACGTGGTCCTGGTTTCCGGTCTTGTATCGGGCTTTTAGGTGGTTGAGCTGGTCGACCTGGTGGAGCTGGTCTGGGTGGTGGAACTACTCCGTTTGGACTACCTCTGCTGGGAGATGCTCGTTCTGCTATCTCTAATTGTTCCAATTGGGAACGCATCGGGCTCCTTATCGGAGAATTCGAAGGAAATTGTCCAACTGTGGTATTACTGCAGAGCTCTATTTCTTTCTCAATTAGTTGTACCCAGTTCGGAGATTTTAAAGATAATTTCAAGGTCTGACCGCATACTTGAGTCATGCCTTTCCATGCTGCTGATAAAGCACACTGCCCGTCTCTAAATGTCACCCAGATCGTTTCGCCGACAAATCTGACGAGAATTGCTTCGCCGATATGAGAAAAGTCTTGTAGTAGTGCCATCATGAAATTTTCGTCAAATACACTATCCATATCGTCCAATTCTTCTGCTGCTTTTACTACTATGGTGCCATCAGGAGGACCCAAATCTTGAATAACATCCCTGAACACTTGTTCCCGTTTCTCGGGATTAACGCAATGAATGTCTATATCGATAATGGCAATGACCGGTCGATGATCGCTTTGCTTCAATTCTGCTCTACCGTAATGAATTAATTTTCCTGGATTCCAATCTGTAGGTGAATCTAGAATAATCCAATATATATATACTAGGTTTAGTGAAAGTGAAGAGTAAACGAGAACAATGACTGCTTAAAGTTGCATGAAACTAACCGATATCAGGTACTTGTTTCCGGCGTTTCCACAATACTCTATCCGTCCATGCAGGCTGACGACATTTTTCGCTGGTATCATAATCATCGGAGAAAACATCGTACTTATATGTTGGAGCAAAGGTAATAGGACCCTCCAAAAATTTTTTAAAAACATTTCCCTGCTCCTGTTGTACCTAAATTCGAAATATATGTCACGAAGAATTTTCAACATATTCCTTATACTTCAGATCAAGTATTTCTTTGATCGTGCTTACCAACAATTGATCATGCTTTAATATTTTATCAAATTCATTCCTTATGATCATTTCTTTCATGTCTTCTTTATCCATATCGACTCTATAATTAAAATCTCCACACCAAAATACATAATCATGAGTATTTAACGTTCTTCCCATGGGGAAGGTAATCTTTCGCGTAATTTCCGCGTAATCTGCATTGCGTTCGTTAACTTGAGACTGTCCAGCAGCGAAGTGTGCGCAAACGAAACAAAACGACGTAGAATACAATACGCATCTAATAGCTACAGCTCCTTTGTTACCTGTTGTACCACCTAATCCAGTTTTAACACAGTCTACAGCTACATCTCTTAAATAAGGTGCATGCATAGGCCGTATGAATAAATAGAGACAAACACCAACTAATTGTTGATAGGTGATCAGAACATATTCAGTATCTCGTGACAGTACTTTTTTTAATTCCTCTGCCCAAATTTTTGCATTATCAGTACTAGCAGCCATTATATTACTAGCATTTAAGTCGACAATTTCTTCGAATCCTATCGCAAATATATCTACAGGAACGTTGTCATATTCAACTGATACTAGAGCTATAGGAAAAGACGTAACATAATTAATTAGTAAAAAATGATGCAACTATTAGAGAAAGTATTCAGAAGATCTTACATGATGATTTTCGTGGAGCGTCTAATAACCAGTCAGCAAGGGAGACCTCTTTGTACACTACACTTCGGAAATGTTTTCCTCCGTTAACGTTATAAGTACCCACGCCTACTCTGAGGTTCATCGTATTTACGTATTCGTTATATCTTTTATACATTTCTCTGAGAACGCTCGGTGGAGCGTGTAACATATTAGATGGTAAAAGTAATCGAGCTCTATCTGCTAATTCTGTGTTTAACGTTGATCCCAATAGCAAGATATCAATAGCTTCTTGTTTACTGGAATCTAATAAATTATTTTGTATCGTTCTAGCGGCAGATCTTGCACCATCCATTAATTTCGAACTTCCCTGAATTGCTCCAGTACCGGCGTATATTTTGCTTACTTCGTTACCATTATTGATCCACATTTGTCTAAATACTTCTTCGAATCTTGAAACTATCTGTTGCTTCTCAAGCAACTTTAATAATTCAAGTTGTTTACCAAGTATCTCCAATGCAAAGAATGTTTGCACACAATTAGTTCTGTCCAAACAATCGAGACAATTTGTTCTAATAGTTCCACTTTGTTCGAGAATAACGGTGTTACCGGCAGCATAAAATAACGAAAATGATTCTAAATATTTTTCTACTTTTGCTTTGAGCTTTGAAAGATTCTTCATGTTACCACCTCTACATTCTTGATGGTAGTCAAATAAAATATGAGGTACGTCTTTATGTTCTGACATATTATGATGAGTCTGGAATAACTGACTCAACATTGCTTCTCCTTCTTTGCTACCAATCAGACTAGAGCCAAGAAGATTTACAATTACTTGCTGCCCATACCTTTGTTTAATCATGTTCAAATGTCTATTAAAAGCTGGTGCAGAAGCCTCAAATTCACGCGAAATTTTTACTTTATGAGAACCAACCTGAATACCAGGTTGTTCCCAAAACAAAGGAACCGATCCTCTGGTTTGCACATAGGAAGTTATTTCATTATCTAAATATATTACTTGCTCTGTTTCTACAAAATTTGCTACATGTCCATCATCATTAGTTCCTCTGACATTAAACCTAAATAATGAATACAAACTGTGTGAAGCTATTATGTAATATAATATCACTGATATAAAGTAAAATGATAAAATTTGATAAAAATAATGTAGCTGTTTCAATATTGACATGATGATAAGCCAGTTAATAAAAAAATAATAAATGTTGATAATATTATTATATGTATATGCTATATCCTATTGGTATTTGAAATAAATTTGATGTACCTTGTGCCTGCACGTTCACAACTCAATCTAGATACAAGAACAGCTCGAGCTTGTCTATGACCAACATATACAGTTCTAATTTCCACACTACCACACATTGCTTTAAGTAACCAATGATTTGTGTCCACACCATATCTTAATAAATGTATGTATAGCATCCGATTCCTGTTTATTACATAAAAGGAAAATTAAATATTTCTATTGCACTTAGAGATCATTGGATGTATGTAACACTAACCAAAAGAATCTGTTGTCAGTTACAGTAGATTTGCATCGTCTTTGTGCACTAAGAGTAATGTCAAGGGGTTCTTGATGACTAGCAGACCAAGAAAAGTAAAATGTACCAGAATTAAGAACTTTCCTAACTTCAGATACACGATCCTCACTGCCTTGTATGTAATGAAGTGGTAGAAAATAGGTCTGTGTAATCCTAAACACTTCTGACTCCCCTATCTTGCCAACCGAAAAACATCCAGTTACAAGGACAAGATACAATAAAGTATTTTCTCCTGCATTTAATTGTAATACACCTAAACATCCATATGCATCTAATAATTTTGTGTATTTCCATTTTAAAGTCTCAGTCTCCTCAGGAGCTGTAAATTAACAGTTACAGCTATGTATAATAAATAGCAAAAAAATTTTTAAACAATTACAGAAGATAAAATCGAATAAAAAATTAAGGGGTGTATTTAATAAATACCGGTTCGTATGTTTCAAACGAAGAAAGGGTAAAGGATTAAGGATCAAGGATACGTGAAAGAATATCATTATTATAAATTACGATAAGATACTTACAGAGAACAGCAACGGCATGTGATTCGAAAAGAATAGTTTCCTTTCGATTTCGTTGTTCTAATATGATCGAATGAGGCTTTAATTTTGCGTAGACGCGAAACCCTTTTCCCATCGCCATTGTTGCGCTAATGTCTTTTAAGGTTTCGGGGATAAAGGTACGCTTTGGTAGAATATGACAGCCCCGTTTGTCATACGGAGCAGCGTGATCACCCTACTCTTACAATGTTTTCTCTCTGCCGAGCGAACTTCGTTCGTCGACACTGACAGCAATACACTTTTCTTTACTTGCTTACGAGAGGGAGTAGCGCTCTTCTCGCTAATCCGTCGATACTTCGATATTTTCGCGATATATACATCGCGATTCCACGGAGTCTACAGTCTGCTTGCTAACCGTAACAATCAATCGAACGCGCCATTTTGAAATTTTGAAAAGTCGAATGTGCAACAATCTCGCGCCACAAGTCTCAGTCAGTTAAAATTTATTTATCGTTGTATTGTTAATTGGGGCAATCGTGTCCTTTCGTGACTTTCAAATCAACTAAAGCAATATAAGGTGAAAGCTAGCATGAAAAAATTCAAGCAAGAATAGAAAATTGTGAGCATGCAGAGAAAGTGCATACAAATTTATCGAACACGATATTCTAATACATATTAACAATATATATTCTATAAAGCACAGTTCAAAAATGTACGATGTTTAATATCTATGAATAAGTTGTTTCAGTTTTTCGTCTAAACCATCTGTTTTTAATCAAAGAAAGAATAGTATGCCGGTACTGTTGATGAAGTATCTTTCATTACACGTAATCGCAATTTAAGTTCAGCTCCTTCTAGAAATCGTCTTTATAATTAAAAATTTCTACGTTAAATATTATTAACAAACTTTTAGTGTTAAATATTACGTAACAATATGAAGAGTCGTTTTTTCAAGTTTTTATTCTACGGGGTTTACACGATCAGGAGAACGGAAAAAAGTTCGAGCGCCATATTGAGATTTGAAAGATCGAATGTGTAAAACACAATTAAGTTGCTCCGTTGTTTTATTAATATTGTCGAGTTAGTATCGCGAGTTCTGAAGTTACATTGTTCAAATTTAGTGGTACAATATCTAGTGAATAGATACAAAGTGATTTGTGCATGACTCGTATTGAAACTGAAAAGAAATAAAGAAAAAAGGATAATACAGATCTTGGTTCGGAATTCAATGTCATCCAGACATCAAGAAATAAGTATATACTTTCTGCGTCGAAGGAGTGATACAGTCGGTAAGACTTTTAAAAGCATTCAAAATAATTTTTTTGATAGTTTTTTAGTTACATGTCTAGTATCATAATAGTATACATCCAATTTTCACAAAGATACAATTCTTGCGATAAACTTTATTCTTTTTAGTGACATAGTAATTGTTACATTCATCTTGCACAATGGCCGTTAAGTTTAAACAGGATTCTTTATTAAACGATCATTCGTTCGCAGAAAATCATCTATACTAGTGTATCGTGCATAAATAGTTGAAAGAAAATTTTCAATTACAGCTAGATTTTTAGTGGATGTCTTTGATCGTTGCATGCACCTTATGTCTAATTATAGAAAATGTCACATTCTTTTACATTACCACAATATTTACACGGCGAAAGATACCATTTATTGGCACCCAATTAAATCATTAGGCTATCCGGTTTTACTTTTTTTTATTTTTCAGTTGATTGATGGTACTAAAAGAAAACATTTCTTAACAGTAGCAATACTTGAAAGGGGAATTAAAGAATTCATTGAATAAGCATAAATAAAAGGTCGCGCTTAAACTTGTTCGATTAAATAAGTGTGTCGTAACGCGTTCACGAAATTAATTATTTTTATTACATCTTCTGCTGAACTGTGCGGTAAGCGTTGATAAAAATAGTTTTCTAAATATGAATTTCGACGAAAGCGTTGCAATTATACAATATTCATGGAAATACTCTTAGACTAGGAAATTATTATACGTTCTATATCAAATTTTAACAATCAGTCGATACAAGTTAATACTTTCCTACGCATTTCTCCTCGTCGGTGCTCTCACTTTAGTTAAGGTACCTACAGAAATTCTCCGTTTATGTAAGATTACATAAATAACGAACTGACGCATGTTTAAAACATCGAAAAATATAATAAATGAATTGTTTCTCTGTAGACGTTAGTTCTAATTAAAACTGGCAAAAACTATTCGATAAAAATAGTAATTTTAAATACAGTTTAACCAAAAGAGAACACTTAAATCTAAAGTTACGCATTAGCTAGTTTTTTTCAACCTCAGGTTTCTCCTCTTTCTATTCTCTGCAACATTATCAACTAAAATGATCCTAAGTACTGTTCCGAATTCTTTCCTTTTTTTTTTCTTTTAAATGGCAAATGATTAACTAATATGTACCACATACAAAGTAATACCTGTTGGAATATATAAGATATTCGTTTGTAAATAGAACTAAACTATAGCTGTTTCATAAGTTTGGCCTGACTGCAAGAGAGATTGCAATGATTGTATAACAAAATTCACGTTCGCTTGGTGTTTAAACCTCGAGGAAGTCCTTCAGTAAAGTAACTCGACGTTTTTCAGCAATGTCCATTTGATTCTCCAGGTCACCGCGATTTGTTGTTTCAGCATGTTCTATCTTCCACGAAAGATCTTCTATTTCCGCTTCTAATTGAGCTTGCTGATACTCAAACTTTAAAAATTCGTCATACATTTAGTTTTAGTATACAAAATTCTGGATTATCCTGAAAATTTCAATATAATATTACCAATTCTTTACGCGGTCCAGGCTCCATATAATAAGCATAAGGATAAGTATACTGTAAAGTATAACGGCAACGTGTTAAAAGCGATGCAGCCGCAAATAAATGTTGCCAATCGATCCATGTTCCGCTCGAGTTCATTACTTTTTTATTTATTTGCATTTTTATGGCCTCGAGACTTTGTTCTTCCAATTTTAACGATTTACTATGGTTTTCCCACTGCAGAGAAGTTTAGAAGAATTTATAATCAGCAAGTTACATCTAAGGTTGAACCTTCAATGGCGCAACTTACTCTTTCATAGTAATGAAGATATTTTTTAAGAGCTTCTCGTGCTTGTGCGAGTACGTTGTCATGAGCAATGTTAGGATTCTCCTTGTAACGTGAACACACGTAATATTCACCTCCGTGTGCTTTCCAATCTCCAAGGCACATCCAACAAAATTCGAACTTACAATTATAACATTGCATATGGTTGCAGCCACCATTTTTCTCTATGCAAATATGACATTTTGGACACTGTAAATTAAAGTTCGTTTATTGTACAATTGCGATATATACGTATAATATGTAGAAACATAAGGCTTAAGTACTGACATCTTTGGTGTGGGCACTAATATAATTAGCTGTCTCTGAATCATCTGCACACTTTGTTAACCACTTCTTCATTGTATTACAGTCAGTAGGTGCATGGTAATCAATACCACAACGGAAGCTGAAATGATTATATCTTTTAGTTGGAGGAAAATCAGGTTCTACAAATATCCTTAACCTGTGAATGCATACCAAAACACAGTTTTACATGATGAACACATCACTCTTTTTGCCCTTTGCTCTTTTGAACGCATAACCATTTGGCAATTGGGCCCAGGACAAAACCTTAGTTGTGGATGGGATTTAACATAATCACAAAAAGCAAACTGTTGATACCTTTCCCTCATGTTAGGCTTTGTAAGTAGAGATAAAACAAAATCTTCTGGAGCTAAGACATTGCAATCTTGTGCCATGCAACTTATTCCTAGTCCAAATTAAATCAGCTGAGTACAAGTTCAAAATACATAAGAATCTTTCCCTTTCCATAAACTTACCTGTAGAAATACCTTGAGTTATTTGTACTTCAAAATGCATGCACCAACAGTCTTTACAAAATGAATGTCCACATGTTAAAGTAGAAAATTTTTCAGCTGGACAAATTGTAACACAAACTGAACATAGTCCACCCCTTTGACTCTTTAACCCTGCCAGTGAATCCAATGGAGGTACTGGTTTTATTTTCGAATTAATTAATAAACTGGAAGCATTGGTATGGTATTTTGTAATGATTTCCTGTAATGCCCAATTGTGTGCGTGTAGTAGAACTTTGGCTAAGGATGGTGTTATGCGAAGACTATTACTCAACATCTCTACATCTTCATTTAAAAGTCTTTCCATTTCTTCAATTCTTAAACAATCATATACAGCATACTCTGGATCTCTCCTGCTTTGATCATTATCTATATCATTGTCACCTTCACCATCCCATGGTTGAACATTATAATAGTCTTCATAACCAGGATCTCCACAGTCAGAGTCTGAGTAGTCCATTTCAGTATCATATTCTTCAGCCGACATCTGTGTCACAAACACACCAATTTCATCATACAGAATTACTGGGAATTACACATTTAACAAGGCTTTACTTAACACAAATATTTAAACACATACATTAGGCATATTACTTTTATCATAACCTCATAATCTACATAATTTATTTATGAACATTCAAACACAAATGTACAAACAAATAATAACAAGAATACAACAGAAAATAATTATATTATCGCTTTACTAATGGATACAAGGGAAGGTAAAGATATCAAAACAAAGCTTACAATAACCATACAGGAACAATAGATTTTTCCAAATATTTTCAGTTCGTAAAAGTAGTACAATATTGAAATATTCAATTTATTTGTGTAAATTAAAAAATTGTACAGAAATATCGAAAGAACGATGATGGGTTTATTGCGTTTAATTATTTTCCACGAAAAATGACTTTCTATGACGTTTGGTAAACATTTTTATGAAACCTCAATATTAATCCCAAAAATGGTGTTCGCTGATTTTATTTCGTTCGCGTAACAACAGCAACCCACCTTTACGTTTTTATTTATCAAGAAAAATGCATTGATATTTCTATTTTATAAATTAAATGGAAAAATTATTAAAGGGCTCTATAGTAGCCGTCTACACCAATAGTTACACTGGCGCATGAGTTATCTGTGCATTCTCTCGTGCCAGGCGTATGATGTGAACGATACTGTAACAGATGATTTCATTTAATCTGAAAGAAGATAAGAGTGTCAAAATCACCTGATAGAAAACAGCTGAGTTCGACAAACTGCACTCCAATACATCCAAATTCTCATAATAGTAATAAAATTTATTTTTAAACATAATACAGATATTTTACAAAAATTTTATTCACGAATATCGATTATTGTGAAATTTACTTTAATATAAGATCAAAATAGTTTGTCGCAACTTTTTATCGAATTTAAAAAATTCTGAATACCATTCGACATATATTTTCTTATAATATTATTTTAAGATTAATTCGGAATATGCCAGTATTAGTATAACTATACAAAGATGAACGTTTATTTTTCATCTTCATCAAGCAAGTGTATTTTTAAATTATTTAATTTCTATCTACATAGAAATGTAAAGTATATGAAAAATTCTATAAAAATATGGTAAAAGGTCATTAAAAAGATTCAATATATACATCCCAGAGAATTTAGAAAGAAAAGAAAATTATGTATTCCACATTAAAAAATCTGCATATGAATGAAAAACGGGGCGCTGAGTTTACATCTACGTAGATGGTTTTTTTAATTTTTGGAAAAAGCTAGATAATTTTTTTAGCATAGAGTTAACTATCTATACCGTACTCATAGCTATTGTTATGGTCGCCGGTTGGCCATGCGTTTCTAACCTCTATCTAACCTTAAAACGCAAGAGTCTGGTACTCGTGTATATTTGAAATTATGTCCGTGTTCCACGATGAAGTAGAAATCGAGGACTTTGAGTACGACGAGGACGAGGAGATATATTATTATCCATGCCCCTGTGGTGATCAGTTCCAAATATCTAAAGCAGAATTAGCTGCTGGTGAGGAGGAGGCCACATGCCCTTCCTGTTCTCTGGTTATTAAAGTAATTTACGATAAGGCAGCGTTTGCAGCTAAACTGGAAGAGCTAGTGAAAAGCGACGAGAAAGAACTCATGGTTCAAAAGGCCTGAAGTAAATTGACATACATTTTGGAATATTGCTACACATTTGCTGGTGCTTACATTTAAAATTTTTTAGCTGAAGGTTAACCACAGGTACCAAGAACATATTTGTGATTATCAGCAGATTAGAAACAAATACTATCTATTTTATTCTCTACTCTATCAGTTCAAATTATTGGAGGACAAAGTAATCTACCGTCATGTCTGTACGTGGTAGAGGAAGAGGTAAACCTTCCATATCACTTAGCACGGAACAATTAGGTTTTGCTAAGGGAGAAGCACTTCCACCACCTGTCTTACAACCTCCACCAAAGTATCCTCCTTTGGAGTATAAACCACTACCTGTGAATATCAATACAGAAATGAGCTATTTGTTAGAATTGAAGAGGGAGTATGCGGAATATATGAGAGAGTCACCTAATAATGTTGTACCTGTTGTAATTAAGAAAGACATTGAAAGATATTCAGATCGGTATCAAGATCTGATCACAGATAAATCCAGTTATGAAATCAGATACGATTGGACCAGAATGCCGGCCGAGTTGAAGCCTCAGATAAGAAAACGCAAAGGGCAAAAGTCTGAGAAAGCTCAAAAGAAGCAGAAGAACGTCGACGTAGAGTCCAAGCTGCAGGAATTAGAAAAGAAAGAGAGCTCTCAGCAAAGTGACGCGGAGGAGGAGGAGAAAGAGGAGGAGGAAACGGAAGAGAAGGACGACGACCATCCGGAAGAGGAAGAGGAGGAACTAGATGAAGAAATGGACGAGGGGACCGATTACGTGAACAATTACTTCGACAATGGAGAAGGTTACGACGACGAAGACGATAATCTAGACGATGGACCTATTTATTAATGCTTCGAGCTTTTATAAGAATCAGAAATTTCTCTCGGTTCTGAATAATTGTACTAGGATACTTACAAGCTGCTAATTGAGCACTGTCCGACAGTGTGTATATATGTATTTTTTACGTGTACAGACAATAAATTATTGGTAATGCTTAAACAACGACCCGTATTTTCCAATAATTATTCATTTCCGAAGAAACTGTTAGTATTAAAGGGATGGTATCTATACTATCGTGAGAAGGAGGAAATTAATTGAAGAACAATTAAAACAGTCCAAGGTCACAGGAAGCGTCGGCGTGTTCTTTATTACGAGTATTTCAATTTCTAATATATAATATATATATAGCCATAATAATCTGCAATTATTGTAATAAATGATCCTCCTCTACGATGCAATCGGAGAGTAAAAACGCAACTTTTGGACGAGAAGGGGATGCGCAAAAGTACCGTAGTGTTACGTAATGCTTAACGCTGTTTTTTTTTTTCTTACGCTCGCCGTGATAGTTTCTCTAAAACGACCCACGTTTATTCAAGTTTCTCATCGTCATCACCATCATCATAAACATCATCATTATCGTCATCATCATCATCATCATCATCATCATCATCATCATCATCATCATCATCATCATCATCATCATCATCTTCCTCCTCTTTTGCTCTCTCGTTTCGCAAACAAATTTTCTCGTCGTCAATCAACGTCGTTACGCTCCCGGAATGTGCACATCAAGCGCGGGAAGGGAATAACGAGAAAAGAAAAGAAAAGAAAAGAAAAAAAAAAACAAAGCACACGGTCGGTGAACGCGAAAGAAGAAGTCGGGTCTCCTGAAATTTCCAGCCGCTCGTCATCACGCTCTTATTTGTTTATTATTCAATTATCTGAATGTTGGGAGCGAAATATACCGGCGCGTGGTATCACAAAGGGAATCGAATCGTTTGCTCACAATCTGGCGGGAAAAATCGTGCGATTACAAATACATAACGTTACAGGTGTATTATAGGTGTCACGATTTGGCAGTAAATCGAATAATCTACAAAATTTCACGTAAGTTTTCGACAATCTTTTCTTCTTTTTTTTTTCGCTTTTTCTTTTTTTGTTAAATGCTGACACGTGGCCAGTGTGTCTCGAACGCATCACGTTTTATGGGAAACGATTCAATTCTCGATGTATCGGTCAAAGAAACGCGCGACATAGAGGTTTTTCTTATGACAAAATATAAACGGAGAAATGCGTCGTCGCCCCCATTAGTTCTCGCTCATCCTCGATCACGATCGTTCAACTTTGCAGTACTCGATTCTCCCTGACTGTCCGTCGATCTGTTTTGCAAAAATTCGAGAAATACTTTTTTCATGTTTTATCCTTGTTTTTTCGTTTTCTTTCGTTGAATAAAATCAAAGGAAAATCGTATTGTTTCTGATTCGAGGTTGTTGTTGATCTTTTCACAGAACATAAGAATTTGATTGAATATTAAAAAAAAATCTACAACACGATCATCCACGTAATTCGTTGTATCGTGAAGTAATACTACATTAAATCGTGATTCTCTTATTCTGACAAAACAGCCCTCTTTCTATCCATCCCCCAAAAACTCTCTTCGTTTAATATACCATCGTTGTTCAAACATCATCCTCAACATTATCGTCATTTTCGCCCGCATCATTTCCTTTTAATAATATACTATATAATGTATATAGATATATTTATATGTATATATATATATACTTTGTATATAATCGTCGTATTTTAATATAGTACGACCTATCTATGCATAAGTAGGCATAAAGACTGAGGCGAGAATACAGGCGAAACCCCGAACAGTAGTCGCTCGCGTGTGTTACATCTTTTTTTTCGTATCTTTTATTTTTGTCTGTCGAAAGAAAATGTTCTCGATTTTTTCCGTCGATTGCCTTCCGGTTCTAAATCGATGAAACGAAAAGAAAGAAACGAAAAAAAAATTTCGTTCGTTTTTCACATTGTTCCAAAAATTTCTTCAAATTCAAAGCTCCGTCACGATTGGGAATTTTCTTCGTAACTGAAAACAAATAACGAAATTAATGAATTTATTTGGATTCTTTTCGCGTACCGGAAAATCATCGATCCGAATGGTTTTAACCTCCGCGATCGTAGTCCCTCCTGCCATCAGAGTTTCCACCCAGCCAATCATCATCCCTGAATCGTAGAAAAGGTCTTCTAAGGTATTCATATTCTCCGTTTATTTCCTCCTTGTCTCTCTCATACTTTCCTTCCGCGTTGTCGTATAATTGAAAGACGCGCTAGTATACGGAACGTGGCCAGCACGTTCACGGATCAGCAGCCCCTTCTCTTTTAAGGCCCGTTCGTCGTCGATGGTTAATCGCAAGCTTACTTTCTCAACAGGAGTTTAGAATCCAATGATCTCTGTCTTACGTGTACGCGGGAAAAAAGCTTGGAACCACGAGGCTGTGAAAGAAACATCGAATCAGCTCTAAAACAGTTAAAAGAAAATAAAAAGAAAAAAAAACGAATTATCATTGTGAAAGAGAAAATTGGTTTCGATCGAAACGAGGTTCCAAACTTTTTTCCTCTACATAAATTCTCTATACTTAGTCGCACGTAACTAGAAAAATCTGTCTCGTGTGTGTTATTATAGGACACTGTTCTACACGGAAATCCTATGAACGGTCAACGAATTTCACACCGATGAAAAATCTCTACCGCGATCTTTTCATTTTTCAAATCGATCGATAAAAATAAATAAAGGTTCTTCTTAGCTCTTTTTTTGAAACACGTTCAACCCCGTGAATCGGAAACAGGAACAGTCTTTTGAATCCGCGGTTAACAAAGTGACGGTGATTTTCTTGATCGATTATCTGTACGAATTTTTTCCATACTTCCCCGTTTTCTTTGCATCATGCCACGCGAATTCTTGATTCGTGCTCGAGGTCGAGTGTAGTCGTTAGTAAGTAGCTCTACAATGGTGTTTTTTCTTTTTTTTTTTTCGTGTGTGGTAAACGTGTCTGGAAATCACAGGACAAATCAGCTTCTACATTCGGATGGGCAGTGTAAGCTTCTTGCGAGGTGCTTCTTCATTTATTTAAAGTGGCTACAGAGCCACCGGTTAGATTTAGGGCCGTTCACGAAGCTGTTCTTACGTGAAGTTGTCGGACAATCGGAAACATGGAGCGATATTCGAACAATAGACTACGCCTACTTCAGCAACGATAGGGATCGTTCGGTTTAAGAGTGAGAAGTATGCTTTGAAGATAGGCACGTTCTGAGAAAAGTATAACGGATGGTACAAAACGCTACACACGAACGTACCAGTGCATGCCTACCTTCAAGCTATGTCCCCCCATTACCGTTCTTCCCCCACTCCATTTACGAGTGCGACGTCGCGTGCCCGACCGTTGCCTTCGGCTTTTTTCGGGAAAAAACACGAACGCTCTTGCTTCCGAAACAGCTACATGAAAAGTCCTAACCGTAAGATCAATCGACCTCTTTCCGTTTTCGTTTGCTTACACCAAACTGTTCAAGCTTCTTCCCTTCCTCTTTGTGTATCAACTCGAAGAAACATTGAATAAAGCAAGACGAAATAAAGAAAAAAAAGACAGGAAGTTCGTCGAATCAGTGGTGATTATAAAATTCTTCTAATGCAACGAGTAAATATTATATCACAATGAGGAATAATCGTCGTAGTAACAGCAGTAATAATTAGTAGTGAAGTGCTGCGCCACTGTTTCGAGCGAATTCTTCCACGGAGATATTCAATTAGTTGTTGCAACATTCTTTTTGGTCAGTTGCTCTTTCTACACTCCAATTAAAATAGTGGCTCGTGTTGCAAGGCTAATACATGCGCGTGGAATGGGCTAATTGAACGCTTATCACAATAGATCGCGCTCGCGAAACGGCGAACGCATTGGAAACAGCCTTTAACACCTTTAAACAGGTTCGTTAAACGAAAGGTACTCTATATACGTATAGCTTTTTTAAAATAGCATTGTGGACAAAAGCCGCAAAATTGAACGTCGAAGCTGAGGCGGATTAATATTCTTTTTGTTTCTTTTTTTTTTCACGTGTGTGTGTGGTGTGTGGCGTGGTGTAATGTGTGTGTGTGAGCGTAGCGAAAATTATTCAACATTTATAATAAGAGTGAATCCTAGCAATGGAATTTTTCCATCAAAATAATCCGCCATAGCATCGAAGATATCAACAATGAATTCAACACATATTCTCTGCATCGTCTTACACGTATTCCGTTCAATTACATACATATATGTACTATTCGCCCCTGTCGCGAATGTAAACAGATCGGTGTAAGCAGAGGCAACGTTTTGACTCGTTTTCTCTAGAAGAAAAAGAAAAACACAAAAACGCAATCGAGGGAGAAAGAAAAGGAGAATTTTGGGAGGTGGGAAGAGGGGGGAGACAGGATCGTAAATCTCGTAGAAAAGAAAGAAGAAAGCTCGGGATGCAGCCAGTTCTGTCTTAATCGTATGTACGAACAATCATCATCGAACAGTCCTCGACGATAGCTGAATCGACGACGTATTTCGATACTTGTACTAAATCCTTCATGTCATCGAGATTTCACAACGATTGTCTTAATATGTTCTGTGCAAAAAATTTGCAAGAATAGGCCGCGTAGTTGAAAAAATTTCGAGCAAAAATCGACAAGATCGGAATTGTGAGAAATGAGTAAATCGATCCCAATGAATGAAGTTTACTTTCGAGCCGTACATCAAAATTCTCGACGCAATCTGGACCATTTTGATTAATTCCTCCTCGTTTCCCACTTGGACGAACATAAGAAACTACGATTATACCAAATACACACGTAGTCGTCATCGATCGGCTATCGGTTTCTCGGACATACAACCTCTCTCGTCGTCATTCTGATCTCCTATAAATTTTAAAGTCCCTCGTCAGTCGTTCTTTTGTAATCGTTTTTTTTTTTTTGTTTCTTTAACCATACGTTAAGTATCTTGTTTATTTGTTTTTTTTTTGTTCATTTTTTCCCTTAGCGGTTTTTCTTTTTTTTATTATTAGAGTAATCGTTTATCATATTAATCATTATCATTATACCTGCTTCACTACGGTTTTTTTGGTTGACTCTTGGACGTGGATCTGGATGGAGTGTGGTGTACCGGTGTACCAAAATGCGCGTGAAAGAGAGAAAAGCTCGGTCGCTTGATTCTTTTCAATTTCTTCTTTTTGTTTCTCTTTTTTTTTTTCTTGTTTTTTCTTCTTCACTTTTCCTTTCTTTCCTCATCGTCGCCTTTCTCTTCCTTAGTATAATCCTTTCCATCGTCCTCGAAGCGAGAACAAGGGCCTCCTATATCTCTCTTCTTTTATTATGATCAGGAACAATGCCTCGTTTTCTCGACCTCATCCACCCCTCCCAAACTTTTTTTTTACTTTCTCGCGTTACATCGTTTCTCCTTTTTGCAGTCTTTTTCATCTTTCACCTTACATACATCTTCTCCATCTCCTTTCTCTTCGAGAGGAAGGGAAAGTTATTACCCTTTCTACTTTGCTCGTTTCCATCGGAAAAATCAATCGTAACGACAGGACGACCCTCGTTATCGAGCCTCGAGCGTCGTTCGTTCCCTTTTTTCTCCCTTTATTTTTTCACCTCGTTTTTCCTTCTTTTTTTTTCTCTCTCCCCATTTTATTTTCACTTTTTGCTCGAAAGAGGAACGTACGAATGAATTTTTTCTCGTATAACAAATCAGACGGAATTCAGCAAGAAGGTAGCGTCTCTCCACCCTTCCTTCACGTTTTCCATCTTCTTTCCCATCATCATCATCATCTATTTCGAATTGATAATCGATTTTTTTCCGTTTTTTTTCTTTTTTCGTTTCTTTATAATCTGTTCGATGCATCTCCAATTTAGCACCAAATTATCATTTATTCTCAAGTCCAAGCGACGCGTGAAAGCGTGATTCTCGCGCGGAAACTCGAAGGAACTGCAGATTTTCCTCTGGCTCTCTCCCCTGTAACTGCGTGTGTTCTTTCAGCCAGGACAGGATTTGTAGGAAAAAGTCTGCTCGCGCGACATATTATTTCTCTTCTCGGCCCGTTTCCCCTCATTGCGAACCACCCTCGGTTCCTTCCTTTTTTCTCGCGGTCGAAATTTTCGCGAACCTCGAGAAGTCGTGTCACGTGTGAAAAAAACACTACGCCTCACTACAGTAATTCGTTCCGCTTGCTTGGTGGTTGTTTCCGTTTGCCGGGCGGTCGGGAAGTTCCTTTTGTTTCTTCTTCGATGTGTCTCGACCATTTACAACGAAAAAAACTTCTCCAACAGAACCTGAAGAAAAGAACTAGAGAAAAAAGGAAGAAAAAGAGAAATTCCTTCTTACGCTAGAAAAAGCTATGAAAATTTCTTCCGTTCGACCGTGTGTCGCGGCTAATTAAAAAAAAGAAAAGACAAGAATGTTTTAAAAAACCTGTTTCTTAGGAACTTCTAAAATTGACGATATATTCGCCCCCAGAATCTTGCGAGAATATTAAAATTTCCTTGGAACTTTTCTGTCGAAAATGGTCGAGACTCTAACACGGAAATGGTAAATTACGGATCTCTGTTTCCGGTTCGGCAAACGCACAGAGATAGAGAGTTGCTCTGTATTTAAAAGTAACTAATCTGCCCGCGGTACTATCGATAATTTCACAGATCTTACGAACGATATCATCGAGATTTCTCCTCTCTGTTTCTCTTTCGATCATTCACGGAACAAAGATTCGACGAGGACGATCTGAGAAATTGTGTCTGTACCGTGAGTCACGTGATCCGCGAGTGCGATACCCATTAACTGTATACATTCATAATCGTGTATACGTACATAATTGGTTTTTTTTTTCCGTATATAGACTTATATAAAACGCACGAAGCGGCTGAAGGCTATGGTTATCCTTCCCTCCATATTTATAGCGACAAAGCCGTACCTTGTTTCTCATCGCGTTAGTCGTCTCGTCGCGACATCGTTATCATCATCTTCTTCTTCTTTTTTTTTTCTGTTTTTTTCTTTTTATTCTTTTGTTCTTTTTATCAATGGAAAAAGAATTCGGGCTTAACTACGGCGGATCCCTCGAGATCACTTGAAATATCCTAGAAACTTACTGACTCGCGTGTGTTCGTCCTGGGTGCGTGTCTTTCTACAATATTTCTCGCGTATGTTGTTGTATATCGTGTAACTGTAACGTACTCGTGTTGTGTAACCCCCGTGTTCGAATGTCTAACCCTGATTTCTTCGATTGATGTTTCTATTGGAAAATTTTTGTCGTCTCGACTCAAGATTCACTTCTGGTCGGAAGAAGCTTTTTATTATAAATTACGAATTTCTGTATATATATAATATATGTATATGTATGTGTGTTAAACTGTGTGTGTATTTGTTTGTCTGTCAGTTAAGTGCATCCTCCGAACCAATTTTACTCGAGTTTCAACGAGATCGACGCGTTGCCTGCACGCACCGTCATCGTTCTCCTCGATCGTCTTACGGATCAGGTGTCTGCCAATTCTTCGAATCTATTCCCTTTCTTATCCACCCTCTTCGATCCCTCCGCCTTTCAATCTTGTTTCCTCGAACAGTATTATAGTCTCCTCTTCGTTCAAGTTCCAATTAAAATCGACCCATCGATGGAATAATCCCTTTATCTTCGATAAAAATCATCCCGATTCTTCTTCTTCTTCTTCTTCTCTCCTCTCGTTTACATAGAGAACGTTGAACATAGAGGGAATATCGTCTTCTCTCGTATCAGAGACAAATCTTTTTCTCTCTCTCGAAGAATGCTGAACACGTGATGAGTAAGACGCAAAAGGAACCAGCGAGATCTCGTTCCCGGTGAAAAGCAACGGGGAACGAGCAGACGAACCACGAAAGGAGCTTCCACAGGAACCTCGTCGAATTTACTTCATCCCCCTTTCCTCTCTCTCTCTCTCTCAATCGCTCTCTTTCTCTTCTAACACGTTTCTTCACGTATCTGCTTGCTCCTCCGCATTCGAGGACGTCACTACTACTTTATTATTCTTTGCTTCTCTCCGCGTGAACGCTCTCTAATTCTCCGAGCCGCTGCCTTTACCCCAGAATTTGTCGAACCGATTCCGTGCCTTTTCCAACACTTCACTCGCCGCGGAACGTTGCGCCGTGCCTGGAACAACCGTCGGCGCCTCTAACACGTGGTAACCACCCCCGCTGCTGCTTACCGACCCACCCATACCGCCTCCGCCGCCACCGCCGCCTGTCGAGCCACCCTGAGGGGATTCAGCTTCCAAGATACGGTAACCCTGCTGCGGAGTGGTCGAGGACGAAGGTGTTGTGATGGTAGACGTCGTTGTGGGTTGACCGGGGTCTTTCTTTCTGTCGTAATCGAAACCTGGGTCGTCTAGGCATCTGAGGTTCGTTCCTGCTACCGGTTTTATTGTGGGTTCTGATTTTTGTTGGTCTTTCGAGTCCTCTTCTACGCCCATTGATTCCTGCGGGATGAGAAATTTGTTCGGTCGGTGGTGAATGTGTGTATTTGATAGATCGTGTTAAAATTGGAATAAAATTGCAATTTTCAATTTGACGTTGAACAGATTGAGAATTCGAGTGGCGGAATTGAAATTTTTAAGTTTCAGTGTCTTGAATTCAATTGGCAGAATTTAACCCTTTGCGATCGGTGCCGCCATAGTGGCGGCATTTCAATTTTGTTCTAGAAATCGGTGTCGCCGTTATGGCGGCATGATCTTTGTTTTGTCAAGTATCATACTTTGGAAAATCGGATGATGGTCTGTTCGTAAATTAACCACTTAGAAACTCATATTGAGTATTATTTACAAAGATTGTTGTACATAAGTGTTTAATAAAAACGAAAAATAATGAAAAATAATTAATGACAAATTAATCGAAACAAGGAATTCTTCGATATCATAAATTAACCACTTAGAAACTCATATTGTACATAAGTGTTTAATAAAAACGAAAAATAATGAAAAATAATTAATGACAAATTAATCGAAAGAAGGAATTCTTCGATGACATGATGCTTATATTCGAAGCAATCAGAAACCAATAGTTATTTATTCTCGAAGTGATAAAAGTTATAATAAAATAATCGTTGCGACGGGGATACAATAAAAAAGTAAGACTCTAACAGAATTTGCATTTCTTAACTGTGTGTCCGGTGATTTAATTTCTCCACTAATTTTTTTTCCTGACTTTTTTTACTCGCACGAGTAAAGCATCGTTTGCAAAGCAACTGTTTATTCGAGTCGTAACTCTCAGAGAGTCGAGCGTTGCTCTCAGACAGTCACTCTCAGACGCAGTGTCCACTCGCGAGAGATACTCTCGAGAGCGACTCGCGATAGTTTTACTCTGAAAAGGACAGCTAGCTTCATGTTTGGCTCGATGTACGTACAGCGACCCAGGCTCGCGTTTCTTATGTTTAGCTCGCGAGCAATATCACGAGTTCCAAGAAGTTAAGGCTTAGAATTTTTCCTAGAATAGTTGCGAGCGTACAGCGATCGGAAATCGGGCAGGACGACTCGTCCTCAGTCGGTGTTTACCTGTCTGTCGGACGAGTGCCTCGACGAACGTCGCTTATACTGCGCGATTGTAGTCTTGTAGGGAATACATCGGATAACGTGTTTTCGATTATACGCGGATTTCCAATTAATTTACGTACTTAGCATATTCGTTCCCGTGAATTAAGTGCCGCTGCATGCAAGAAGCTAGTGCACCGAATTCAAGTACACAACGAACAGCTCAGCTTGGGAGAAAAATGAAACGAGAAGCGTGTCTCTGCGAGCTACACAGCTACAGTTTCACGGTATGTGTATGCGTGAATTAACACAATCGAATGATTGAGTTTATTGAAAATAGAGGAGAGCCTACGTATAGCTAATTAGATTAGTTACTGCAACAATTTCGTTTTATCGTATGCTAAGTTCATTTTTCTAGTAATAAGATGTGTTATAGCTATAAAACAACAAGAAATTAGTTTTTTTTACTATTGTCTCCCCGAGTCATATACATATTCTATCCTTTCCTGGAAAAACACTGTCTCTTAGTAAACAACCAAGTCTTAATACACAACCTACTTCGTTTGTCATTATTCTAACGACAATATACGACAATTGACACGCAGTGCAGATTATCAGACTTCAGTTTTCCGTAAAACCGGGGGATGCTTCCCAACTACGCGGACAGTCGACGTCTCTACCTACGCGTAGTTCGACAGAACACTGTATATAGTAAATTCTCTACAAGAGTCAGTAAGTTTGGATTCTACAGGTGACAGTATAGATGGTCCTACGCCTAGGTCTGCGTCTCATTGCTGCGCCCATGTTATCTCGCTCGCAGTCAGTCAAACGTGTAACGCTACACCAGTCGGTTTCCTTTACGAGATTACACGGCTCGACAAATCATAGAAAAAAAATATAATTTCTTTAATTTTACTTTTTTTCATCAGGAATGTTTTTTTAACATGTTGGTGACATTTTTCTGATGAAAATGACATCAAACACGACATAA